TGATAGCGAAACATCCACTCTTGGTGATTTTAGTTCCTCAAGAAGCAGACTCCATTAGTCCTAGGTCTGGTGGCACGTCGTAGGTTGAAGCTGCTCGCGGCCGGAATTTCTCGCATTCGCACACAAAGGGGAAAAGTCTGTCGTGACCGTTGAAGTAGAAATAGCCTTCGTAAGCTGCGTGAAAACACCGCTTAGTAGGTGGGGTGATGTGGGAACTGCGCCAGCTTGCACATGTAGTGCAGTCCCGGCATCTGCCTTCGCAATGCTAGTGGAAGGCTCGTGAGCCTCCACCAGAAGAATATCTACGGGCGATGTTCGAAAGCCCCTGTGGCGACACGAGGTGCGGCGTGGTGCACCGTGTTCAAAGCACGTTTGATCAGGTCTGATGTACCATCGTGGTTAAAACAGCCGTAGTCAAGTTTTGAACAAACCAGGGAATGACACAGGAGTAAGAGCGTCCTCCTATCAGCACCGTATGACCTACGTCCCACGCACCTCAGGGTGTTGAGGGACTTTAAGCGTTTGTCGTGGAGATTTCTTACGTGCTCCCGCCATATTAGGCGTCGGTCAAATTGTATACGAGAAATTTCACGGTATTCTCAATGGCGACAGCGTTGCACGTAAAGCCTGATTCCCATTTGAGGATGGTGTCGGCGACGACGACAGAAATGAACTGCAGTTATCTTCGATGTAGAAAACCGGAGCCCGCTGAGCACACCACTTCTCCAGACGTGTGACAGCCAGCTGCAGCTGTCGCTCCATCGTGTGAATGGTCGATGTGCTACACCAAATAGCGAGGTCGTCTACAAATAGAAAACGGCTGATCCCATGTGGAAGTGTGTCTCCCACATCGTTTATCATCACTGGGAAAAGAATGACACTTAATACGCTGCCCTGAGGCCCACCATTTTCTTGCGGATACCTAGTCCGATTGATGAAGAAGCAACACGCACCGAAAGGAATCTGTCAGCCAAAGAGATTTCTAAAAACTTACCCATTTGACCGCGGTGCCGAAATCGAACAACTTTATCAGAATCTGTCTCCATTTGGTATCAAAAGCTTTTTATATGTCAAAGAAGATTGGCACCGGTGTGACGTTTGCTAATAAACCCCGCCCGCACTGCAGTATCAAGAGTTAACATGTGGTCAATCATGCTTCTGTTCCTTCGGAATCCACACTGAACATTCTTAAAAAGTTTTGATGTTCTTAAGTCCATGAAAGCCGCACATTTACCATCCTTTCCATGAACTTACAAAGCGAAGATGTGAGGGCGGTTCGGGCGATAGTCTAGGGTGTTCGGTCCACTTTTCCTCGGGCTTTAAAATAAGCACCACTATGGCCTCTCGCCAGGTAGGCAGGAAGCTATCTGATTCTCATATCCAGTTGAAAAGTATCAGCGGTGCTCGTAGCACACAGGGAGGAAAACGCGGTATCATGTAATTATGGGTGAGGTCGGGCCTCTCCGTGACACTGCGCAGTGAGTGAATGGCCGCTTGAAGTTCCATCATGTTGAAATGCCTGTTGTACGCCAGTCCGCCACCTGTATGAAAATTAGCTTGCGAAGTTTCACATTGCGGTCTGTGTCGCAAAAACCGTGTATCGCAGGTGCCATTTCGGCAACGGTCTGACAAGGCATCCCCAATGGCTTCCGCGACATCACTTGGGTGAGTGATGCTTTGACTTTCGACTCGCAGTACGGTCAGTGAAGCTGGTGGGTGCAATCCAGCGATTATTTTAATGCGGCCCCCTATACGTGTGACGTCGGCGTGTGGCGATTCAGTGAGTTGACGTAGCTGCGCCATGATGCACGTTTCGCCTCTCGTATAGTGCGGCTGCGCGTGTTTTCCTGAAAGCCATGAGGTTTAATGCATTGCTGCGCCGGTCAAAAACCCTAAAAGCTCTCCGACGTGCGCGAATAGCGTCGCGGCGCTCGTCATTTCACCAAGGTACAGGGATGCGACGAGGGCATCCAGAGGTGCCCGGATTGCATCCGTTCGCTGCGTCCAAAAACGAAAGACGTTAACTGCTCCGGGGTCGGAGCCGTAGAGTCGAACTTGCTAGAAAATATTTCCTCCAGGTGAGCCTCAAATGCGCTCCAGTCCGCCTTCTTGAAATTCCAACGCTGAGGTCGAGTAACAAGAACAATACCATCACGTTACCGAACCCGGACCGGAAAATGGTCACATCCAAGGGGTTCCTTCTGAAGCATCCCAAGTGAAGCGTGATGCTTCCAACCAAATTTGAACTACAAATGCTCAGGTCTAGCTACTGACGATCTGTCCTGTTGGCAATGTGAAATGCGCCTTTGCTCCTGTATGAAAAACACATAAGCCTTCGTACGCACGAAAACCTCACGTAATTTACCGCTAGTGTTCGTGGCAGCACACCCCCACACAGTACGATGTGCGTTAAAATTGCCTAAAACCGGCGGAGGGGAGAGGAAGCTGAGAGACTAACTTTTGTAGTTCTCCAGATGGAAACGGAGCCCCAAGTGGTAAGTACAGAGAGCACAGAGTTATGGTGCGGCGGTTAAAATTCACCGTTGCTGCGACGGCTTGCAAGTCTGTTCTTAACACCAGACGCTGTGTAGGTACGCTTGGGCGTACAGCTAACGGGACGCCACCGCGAGCAATGGTGTCTGTTGGCGTGTCAGTGTGGAAGGTAGTGTACCCTTTCAGGCTGAAGGCCGCATCAGGCGCCAACTTTGTCTTCTGGAGACACATGGCTACCGGACAGTGCGCGCTTAAAGCTGTCTGCAAGTCCTGGGAGCTTGACCTTATACCTCTGCAGTCCCACTGTAAGAGTGACTGCGTGAGAGGGCTTTAAAACTGCGTAATGCTCTAAAAGAACTCAGAAGCGCTAGAGCCCGGCCCGTGGTTGTTGGTCCTGTCTCCAGAACCCGTTCCCAGAGACCGGGCGGATCCGAGGACTACCGCCATTGTCGGCGAAATCGGCCCCGGCGGATCACGCTTTTCCGGGCCGTCCCGTTCTAAACGGGGCCGGTGCCGGCGACGTTGTGGCCCTAGGTGGCGGTGGTGGCGTAGGACCCATGGACGGTCTCCCCGCGGATCGGAGGGGCCTGCGTGAGCTTCCATACACTTTCAGGGGCGGCGGGAGGGCCTCTCCCGTTGGAGCGGTCACCTGGTCCGCTTCAGACAGCCGACTGGCTGCCTTGGCACGCTCCTGGTGTGTTAGGCGTCCCCGCTTTGCCTCACGGGCGCGCCTGTCTGCCTCGTGGCGCTCTGGCGTCTCTGCCGTTCACGAGCACGCGCTCGCCAAGGTTGCTTTAGTTGTCGGGTTGGCAGACAAGGGGCAGCCAACAGAGCCTGGTTGCCCTAGTCACGCTGAACTACCGTCCATCCACCGTCCCCTGCCACCGAAGGAGAACCACCCGCGGGGGGAGAGGGGGGAGGAGGTTGGCAGCACGGTATCCTTCGATCACTGCAGGGAGGAAGGGAAAGCCAAGGCTGCCAGACTGGAGTCCAGCGCCCGGTTCGTCGATACAACCGAGAGACCAAAAGACTTCAAGTGCGCAACAAACCGCGCAGCGGTCATTTGATCAGTGGAGGTCGGACGTGCGGTGGAGATCTTAGCTTTTTCCACGTATGATGTTCGGGGGTGGCTCTCGTCGTACAGTGTTTTGGCCTCGCGAAGAGAGATATTGCGAGAGGTCTTAATCGATTTCTTTTTCTTTTTCTTCCATGCAACTTGGGCACGTGCGGTCGTAAGTCGTGTGCGAAACCTGATCTTTGTTACAGTTCACGCAATAGGCTCTCTCTTAATTGCAGAATTCCGATGTGTGCTCGGAAGAAGCCAATTTCTCGCAAACACACTTGCTGTGGTAGTACTGTTTGGTATAGCCAAATCGCTGGCAGCGGAAGGATCACATTGGGTTCGGGATGAAAAGGTGCACCTTGACACTTGCGTATCCAACGAAGAAGGCAAATCTGGGCGACTGAAACTCAGCATGATGTTGTTTGTCGGCAGTTGTTCACTTCCTTGTCTATTGGAGATCCTATGCGCGGCAGTCACGCCGAACACAGACAACTCGTCAGCGATCTCCTCTTCACTAACGTCACATAAGTCGAAGCAGTTGATTATCACTCTGGATGTATTTTTTGTCAAGTGTGGTGTTACTCGGATAGGCACAGAAATGTCTCGTTTTCCATCCTTGTCCCGAACGCAGTACATGAATTCGGCTACAGTCCTCGCGGATCAGCCTCCGCCCCGCTGATGAACTCTACCTCTGACCCTCCATCGCCCAATTTGTCGCACAGAACGACATTTTCAAATCGATCATACTCGGTGTTCCGCTGAAACGGCGAGAGAGACGAGAGCCTCGTGTCATCCCTTTGGAAGACCAAAATTCGGGGAGATGGTGAAGGTTCAACGCTGCTTTCTGTCATCAACGTGTCCATCTGTCCATATGTCAACAACGTTACCATCAACTCCCCTTTCAGGAGTCATTTGTTTTTTTGGTTATATGATGTCATGCAAGTTTCAGTGAAGTTTTCGCACCGGAACTCCCCACCCACCACGGAGCCCAACTGGGGGACGGTCCAGCACTCCCTCGGGAGGTGGTCGCCGCCAGGGCTACCCCGGTGCTACACGGGGCGAACGACGCCTCCCACACGGTCAGGTGTAACCGGTCCCGTCCCGTACTGACCGTGGTTCGGCGCCGCCGCCCTTTAACCCCTTAAGCCGCTGGGCGTGGTCAGGCACCCCAAGCGGCGACCCGCACGGGACACCCAGCCGCAGCGCGAGCGACAAGCCGCTAGACCCGTGTGGGGCACCACGCCCCCCCCCCCCGCACCCCCGGATATCCTGACCAAAGTGGTGTGTTGAGACGCGCCGTGACTGACACGCACGACGCGGCCCTCAGCCACCAGAATCTGATCAACCCTGGGACGCAGGCGAGGGGACACGGCGACCCCGATAAAAAGAGGATTTGGAATGGGCCGTATACGGGAGAGCGGGTAGTGGAAAGGATGGAGAACCACTAGATGTTGGCGTTCGGCGGCGAATCCAGCAGGTAGTCCCAGAGCGACGACCACTTGAGATCGTGCGCCTCCTGAGGGAGATAGGGGATGGGCGTGGTCAGTGGCGCGGTCTACTGGCGGATAGTGGACAAGCACCGCCCACTGGAGCACGGCAGATGGGCGCGGTCAGTCGAGTCACGTGGAAGATGGCAGTGCGGGTGCACTGGATTATGGTGCACTGGACCAGGCGGCCAACTCACGTGGAAGACGACGGAGTGGTTCTACTGGTCTTTTGTGGGGGGCTCGGTCCTCGTCGAAGAGACGGAGCACGGGTGCCGGACCCTGAAGACGATTCTGACTCACATGAAAGACAAAAAAGTACGTATGCTGGACCCTGACAACGGCCTTTACAGACGCAAAGGGTGCTTGGGCAGGTATGCTGGACCCTCACGGGGGTCCCAGCATGCGAGGCAGGCCCTGTAGCGTGCGGACGGCGAGCTCGACTCACGTGGAATGTGGCGGAGTAGGTGTATTGGACGCAAACGGCGCCGTCGGCCGACTGGTCGCGACCGCCGATCTCCACAGCCGGCTGCGGGCCCTCGCAGCGCACGCCGTCAGCCGGGTGCTGGACGGATCACGGCGTAACCTGCACGCGATGATGCGCCTGCTGTCAGCGGCGCTGCACGAATCACCGACCGGTCACACCACTGCTGCCGCGATCTCTGCTCGGGATGTTTCGTGGCTACACGCAGATGGGTCGTGGCAGAGAAAACCCGAAACTCGAAACACGTAAATGATCGACTGAACACTAGTAAATGCTGACAATAGATTGATTAGATAGATTAGATAGTCACAAGAAAGTTCGAGATGGAATACCGATGCAACTACAAAACACGCAATTGCCTTGGAAGGAACCGTCCCAGGCCCTGTTCACGCCACTGTGTTAGGTGATGTTGAAATCCAGGTGGATGTACACATAATACATGTTACTTTTGTGGGCAAGGTTGCTCTGTGGACAGGGCAGGACTGGATGCAGGCATACACATTTAGCACTCACAGGGATCAAGCACAACACTCTCTACCCCAAGGAGATGGCAACAGTTGCCTTTGAGGTTGACTTGCCGACAACCTGGTGTTTGTGTCTGGTGTTAACACAAAATTATAATTATTAGATGGTGGCAATATTGCTCCTTATCAATGATTTAATCACTTTTATGTGCTTAATTAATTCATGTTTAGTATCATTGCTGTAAAGACCAAGTTTGATCATACTGCCAACAAAGTGAACCAATACTTAAAATATAACCCTCAAAAACATGCTGACCTAGATTCCAGTCTGGGAGCTGGTGTAGATGATGCGGGAACGTCTTCCCTGTGCTGAAAGCAGTTCAGTACATAAATTATCGTCATCAGTAAGATGAGCAATGAACAAAACTTCCACACAATGTACAGGCTATAGGACAGCATTGTTGCATGTGCTCCAAATGTAAGACAGAGGAATGTTTTGCTTACATTATATGAATGTTGATGTCAGAAATGAAGACGTCAGTCAACTTAGCTAACACAGAGCATTAATATTGCATCATTCCTCTCTGCAGCAGAGCTTTGAAATGTCTGGGCTGGGGAGTGCGCTCCTCACGCTCCATTACCTCCTGCTGCCGCCATGGTGCCACGGGGGTCCAGCCGCCGTTGTCTGTGGGTTTGTTCAGCTGGGAATCAGAAATGATTGCCATACTAGGGAAATTGGGCTATCATTAAATACCGCCATTGCCTACATTGCACTGTCATCGCCTACATATGATAACTGCATGCTCAGTTTGGTGCAATTCGATAGCAATTCTAAGCAATTTTTCAAATAACAATATCATTTCTGAAATTGGTGGTAACCATGAGCCTAACTCCTAGCACTCAGATTCATTACATGCATCATTGTTGCCATGGTGTTGTAACTGTCAGCAAGTTGTGCATGCTCTCAAAATCCGGCTATCACATGCCAATGACTTTAAATCACTAGCCTGCAAAGTGTAATGAAGTAAAGAGCTCACAACAAAAGATAACACCGCATCTAGAGGCCAGCAAACTTAGGTTATGTCGACATGCACATGCTTTTCAATGGCTTTGGCTGAACTTTTTAGGCATTTTTGCCGGACATCGCTGGAGTCGTGTAATCATTCCTCAAACTGGGGCCAAAATTGAAAGCGGCCGGACACCAAGCTCGAAACTGCACACGAATTGAGACGTGCATGCTCCGAACTTATTTCCGCGATATCGGTGATACGTCAGACATATTTGGCGTTAAGTGTTTTTAACAGTGTGGGAGCGAGGTACTTACGCGAATGCAACCATATGATTTTCTGTTGTCCGGCGAGCACCGCGTACACAACACTTTCTCTTCGGCATCCCGTACCAACGCAAAATAGGACACTGCCTAGGAATCGGGGAAAATGCCTCGTTGACAAGTGCCACATATGTCGAAAGTGCTCACGCTTACGCTCGCGACACGCACGCAGTAGTAAAATCTTACCAACAGCAAATCACCTTCCGCGGACTGCATCATATGTGCAGCATCATCGCCTTTGCAAAGGCATCAGTGGCCATGCTGTTCTGGGCCGCAAACAGAAAACAGCCTGTAATGTGACGGCGATCCTATGTCGTTTCTATGACGCCATTAATGTCAAGGTGACTTGGAAATAGTCAACTAATGAACCTTTTCCGCAGTTTTGCTGGCGTGTATCTCAGGAACCAGATGGTTTCGGGTGTTGGAAAGGACATGGCCGTAAACTACATTAAAAGGTCCTCAAGATGGCTATTTCAGTTCAAAATCCCATACCAATGCGGAACACTCCCTTTAAGGTGACAGGTTAAGATAAAAACGCCTACCCTGGTAATTAATCGTTTACTAAACAACCAAAAAGGAAATGACATTATAATGGCGCTCGTGGTGTTAACTTTTGTTGCACTTAGAAGCATTGAAGGTCAGAGGTTACGATCATACAGAAGACAATATCTTGGCTTTCATTCGTTCACCAAAGAAACACAACACATGGGGTATCGCAATATTGGTCATGGTGTCCACTTTTGTCACATCTAGAAAACAGCCTTCATGGTCTAAGGTCAAGGTCACATAAAAGCCAGTACCCCGATATCTGCTCCTTTACCTAAGAAATACAACAAGAAGCATGTCGTATTTCTACGTGTGATGTGGACTTCCGTCTACTTGTCTACTTTTGTTGCAATTGCTTCATGAGCAAAACATGTCAGGATCCCCTCTGTTATGTCACCTTGACTCGTCAAGGTGACACTAGTCAAACACAAGTCAAACATGTCACTAGACTTGGCCACCAGCGCTGTCGTGAATCACGGACGACAAATCAGAAAACACGACATCGGATTTCCGGCAGCGTACGAGTAACACGCCGCCGTCCGACCTGGCATGCTGTGTTATCCGGCTGCTGATAACGCACATGCCGGACGTCGGTCGCCGCAAGCTGGCGAATCCGTGCCTGTTAGCAGCAGCCGTAGGAAAGGCATTGACTTTTCAGTCATTACTCGTCCTCCAATAACGTGACCTGTATGTACACTGTGCAACGGTCCTTGAGGGGGCGTATGCATGGTAATCCCCCATTTCCCGAATATTTTACGGCACGTGGGTAATACTCGCTATGGTCACGAGCATGATGATCGTTTGCATCGACTCCACCGGGAAAATTAAGGCACGTTCGGCAGTGCTTCGCACGACCTGTAGTCGTTGTGGAATGCGACGATCAACTGGTGCCCCCAAGTCGCCAGACATCCGCACAGCGAGAACAAAGAGGTTCATCACTCTAACAGCTCATGCCAGCTACAAGGTTCATGATAATTGTTGATTCATTATTCTGTCATCATTCGGAAAGCTCTTCAGAGAAACGAAAAGCACACCTCTTTGTCATCATTTTCCCCGTTCAGTCATATCGCCTTTGCAACGGCATAATGCGAAGAACGGTTGCGTCATTCAAACGATAAGAGAGGCGATGCCGCCAATATTTAAACTGGAGGGCATATCAGCGCGCGCAGGTACGACACCAGCAGTCCGCTGCGATAAGGGAACACTGTCACGTGTAATGCCAACTGCCAAATTTCTCTGTTCTCTTCGTCACTTAGTTTGACCTCTACAGGTCAATAAAAGGCGAAAACTTTGGAATCCTAGCCTCCCTTCGTTTGATTAAGAAATCAAATAAAACGGGTATTATGTTGATCCTCGTCGTGTCGAATGTCATCGCATCTGCCAAAAATAACAACGTCGAAGATTAAGGTCGCGTAAAAGTGATATTCTGCAAAGTTTGTATTCATAAAACAATCGCAACAAACTTATCCGCTTTCGTCTTACCCACATAAATTAACTTTTGAGGTGGAAGGTCGGAGTCACAAAAGATGTCGTGCCCTGGCATTTATTTGTTCATCAGATAAATACAACGGAAAAGGTAGCGTCATCACGCATGTGATGTTCACTGCCGTCATGCCCCAAAAAGTTGTTTTCAGGGTCAAAAGTGAAGGTTACAAAAAACAGTACGCCAATATTTATTCGTTTACCTCAAAAGCAAACAACAACAGTGAGGGTATCAAGTCATGTCCGTGACGTCCACTTTCGTCACTTTGGTAAGAAATAGTTTTTAAGGTCAAAGGCTAGCGTCACACGGAAGCCAGTACCCCGGCATTCATTCATTTAACAAGAAATCTAACAAAATGGGTATCATAGTGATGGTCGTGGTGCCCACTTTCAACCTAGAAAACGTAGTTTTGAAGGTCATCGCACTGGGTCACACATCACATGGCGCCTGGTACTTCGTTATTTACCACATAGTTTTGGCCAAAGTTTACTGTTTGTTTACCAAAAAAATGCAACGAAATGGGTATCATAGCAATGTTTTGATGTCTGCTTTTGTCACATCTAAGTAATGAATTTCGAAGATCAAAGATCAAGTTCATACAAAGTGGAATAGCTCGGCATTTATTCGCTTGCCAAAAACATACAAGATGTTTTCGTTACACCAGGAAAAATTAAACTAAGATTAAAGATCAGAGTCCCACAAAACACGGCACCCCGGCGGGTATTTGTTTAAAGGGGAAACACCACTAACACCACTAACCAGGCATCATATTCATTCTCATAATGCCCACTTCCGTCATGCGTACAAAAGCTTTGAGTGTCAAAGGTTAAGATCACATATGACCGTGTGCTGTGATATTTCTGCACTCATAAAACAGCTATAACATTAAGGGTGCTATATTTGATCTGGTAACGTCCGCGTTCGTCTCGTTTTGAAAAACTGAAAAAAATACAAAATGGGCACCATAAAGATGCCCACGATATTCGCTTACGTCACATCTACAGTAATAATTTTTAAGGTCAATGGTCTATGTCACACAAAACACTCTATCTTGGCATTTCTTCGTTTGCCAATAGAATTCAACACAGTTAATAACTCAGTGATGTCTGCAATCTCTACTCTCGGCACATTTGCGAAACCTTACATCTCAGGTCAAAGGTCCAGGTCATGCAAAACGTGGTACTATGACATTCATCTATCCACTACAGAACTACAAAAACGTCATCTACAACAACAAACGAACAACAATCCTAGTGATGATTGTGATGCGTTCTTTCGCCATATCAGAAAAATACATGTCAAGGTCAGAGGCACAGGTTATGAGAAATGTGGTGCCCTGCTTTTTACTGGTTTGCCAAAGAATCTCCACCAATTGGATATCATATCGATCCTCGATAAGTCTGCTTTCGTTAAGCTTTAAAAAACTTCATATCCTGGTCAAAAGTCAAGGATGACGCAGTGGCATAGTGAACAGTCCGCTTCATTCCCCCTAGATGCAGATTCATGACCGGACATCTAGGTTTGACTTACCATCTCGTACTCGCTTGTGTCCATTCTGGTGCCCGGTTTCCGGATGATGTAGGTGATGGGGTCGGTGTCCGGATCCTGGGCGACCACGGCTCGTACCAGGGACCCTGTCACAGAGCGCGCGCCAGCCAGGCTACCGTAAGGGGACCAATGCACACCAGTGCAATGCACTTTATTTCAGCGTGGCTGACACGAAGTGAATGTATAGAAGTGCGAATGAGTACATGTATGAAAAAATGAGAGAATACATGAATGAATGAATGAATGAATTGAGCGTGATGGTTCAGTTCTACGGAATAAATGAGACGAGCTGGTAGCATCGCTGATGGGTCAACTGTTAAGACTATCGTTCTCGTCTGGCGTGTTAGTATGTATGCAAGGCTTCGGCCAGGTACTTCCCTGGTCGTCGTCACGTGTTATTAAATCACGTAAAAAATTCCGAGTGACATTTGGCTTTCAACCATGCACGCATCACAGCCCCAGCGTTTTCCGTGGAATTTCGGATTCGAACCGGGTTCTTCTGATCACAACTCCAGCGTTCTACCATTGATTGAACCGGGAAGGACATTTCCAAGAAAAGGAGGACACCCCTAAATTATATCGTGCTGTGACATCACAGAAAGCCAATCATCCGGGGTGAGGCTCTGAAGGCTGGCAGAGGAGAGCAAGCATGGTAAAAAGGCGACCACTGATCAGCGTTTAACGAGGTCACCATCATCTACAGAGAGCAGCACTGGAAGGCTAAAAAGTCACGGAGGTAGCACACGTGACGGTGGCTAACTGCCCCATCAGTTTCAAGCGCAGACATCAGCTCGATGTGGCTCCGAATCCTGCGTAGAATTCAACAAATAGAACTTTGCACAACTGTTATAATGTAAGGACACACTCCTGGCAGAGGAATGACAACAGAGGAATCGGGTTAGCGTGTTGCAACTTTTTGTGCGGTTCGACGGTGGTAAGCTCACTGTATTTGAAGGAGAATTACACATATGTGGGCCACCAATAGCTGATATCTTAAGCCGCATGCTTAGGAATGGGCGTATTTTTCTCTCTAAGTAGCTTTATTTTTGGCAGCTGATTTTAGCTCACATCGCACTTGTTCTGCGAAGTAAATTTGAAGGATTTTGACTGTCTGACAGTCATTTTGAAGGTGAATTTATGAAGGCGCCAAGATGAGGCAGTACCCCAAAGCTACACCGGAGCTGTAGAAGTTGGGCCAAAGCGTGCTCGTGATGTCCGCTGAAAATTGCAACGATGTTATCGCCCTCATGTGCTGATTTGAGGATGTATGCTTTTTTCGAATTGTCACTGCCAGTTGCGATGGGTGACGATTAGCACCACCCATGCGGGTGCCGCGGGCACGGCCATGAGGGCACACCAGCAGGAACTGGAGACTACCGTCAAACCACACCGGTTCGTTCTTCCAGTAATCTGCTGGAGACAGGTCTACCTTGGGCGGCGTTCTCATAGACGTATGCCTCGTAAGAGTCGTCGGAGAACTGGGGCGGCTGGTTGCCGGTCAGCAGCAGGACTTTGGAGACTCTCATCTCCGAGCTCTCTGAAGCATGCCGGCACGACAGGGTCAGGCGAACGCGCTGGGCTCAGTCGTCCGGATCGTCACTCAGTCGGCAGTCAGTCGCATCAGGGCAGGTGATCGTCAGTCAGTCGTCAGTCGCGTCAGGGCAGGTGATCGTCAGTCAGTCGTCAGTCGCGTCAGGGCAGGTGATTGTCAGTCAGTGGTCAGTCGCGTCAGGGCAGGTGATTGTCAGTCAGTCGTCAGTCGCGTCAGGGCAGGTGATTGTCAGTCAGTCGTCAGTCGCGTCAGGGCAGGTGATCGTCAGTCAGTCGTCAGTCGCGTCAGGGCAGGTGATCGTCAGTCAGTCGTCAGTCGCGTCAGGGCAGGTGATCGTCAGTCAGTCGTCAGTCGCGTCAGGGCAGTGATCGTCAGTCAGTCGTCAGTTGCGTCAGGGCAGGTGATCGTCAGTCAGTCGTCAGTTGCGGCAGGGCAGGGGACAGGCCTGTGCTGATGGGTATGCTGGTTTACTGGGGCCCAAACGTCAGCAAAACAAGCGGGCGAGTGGCACACTCTAACTCTGGCACTACGGTGTAGCATTAGTTACCCTAGAGTTAACTGCGGTATCTCCGTCAGCGTGATTTTTGCCATGATGTTAAACTTTGCAGGCATGGGCCGGCAAGCGCATGCACTGTCTGCGATTCCACATCACTGTTCGCGCCGCGTCAGCTACGCTCGGTGCTGCTGGTTTGCATGACCCACACCTGTATTGAAGGCGTTGACGGCGAAGCTGGTGCTGCTGGCATCTTTCAGCAAGTCGCTGCCGGCTACTCTGGTGAAGACCCGGCCTCGGTCGTCCACCCTGAACCGGTCAGGACTGCTCACATTGTACTGGACGTCCGGTGAATCCGACTGGGGCAACTAGCGACACCAGTCAACGCATTTCACTTTCAGTCCCCGCAGCATTTTCAGCATTTCACTTTCGTACATGCCCCTTTCAGCATGTATGTCACAACCATTTATGAGATTTGCTAAATATTAATGCGCATAGTACATCCAGTTTTTCTTACTAAGTCGAACATGCGGCAAAATGCGTTGTGTTGCTCTGGTCCTGTGTGGTCTATTGTGGAAGACTGTATTCAAACTGTTGCTGAATTTCATAAGGCCAATACAATGGCGTGAATAATTTTGGTAACTGGTATTTTTGGTAACCGGTAACTGAATAATTTTGGTATTCAGATTACTTCTCAACTGTAAGATACCGTCACTCTACACATGGTTTGGAGCTCCGATCTTCCCCGGCTTACGATAATAGCGAAACATTAACATAATTTATATTTTGATATTTGTGGCACACGGTCATTTTCAGATTCATCTTTGCCTTCATGATTCCGAAATGAACTAACATCAGAATATGTAATAGGGTGGTATGACCACTGAGATTGGTTATACATCTTCTCGCGACTAAAAAAGAAGAAAAAATATGTGGAAAAATGCAATTTTGTGGCCTCAAAGTATTTCGTCGGACAAAGAAGCGTTTACTAATGGCAAGCACTGGTGCCACCCGATTACATTGACCAGATTGCAACAGCTTCCAAACTGCACCGAGGCTTCAAACATTTCGCCCTTCGGGAAAACTGTCGCTTGTATGTAAGCACCGATTTTTGCACGCATTTGGTTCTTCTTTTTGAATACAATCATGATTGATGCACGGATCAAAGGGGAAAATGAAAGTGAAATATATGGCTCAGGCCTGTCCACATCTTGAAAGGAAGTATTCGAATGTATCCAAGGCGACTGAGATTATTATAGATGGAAATTTAGTCTATGATATCAGCCCGCGGCTGATTGCTTTTCAATCCAGTGACGAGGCGCAGGGGACGGGTTAGACATAGGCGTTTTGTCACCAATGAGACGCAAGACTGGGGTCACATCATATGTCACGTACCGTTAGCAAGAGTGTATTTATCTTAGTGTCAGCTGTGACATTTCGCAACCTGTACTGTTTCGCATGAAAGTCGGTGACTTCGCTCTGTCTACGCTGCATTTGTCGCTCAGCATCTGAAACATAGATAGATCACTGTGTTTCGACTCTACTTGTATACATGCATGTTGACACACACATTGCATGTATCTCGCCCCCATTGTCGCCCCTTGCTAGTCTACGCCACCTGCGGTTCAAGACGATTGTCTAAGACCGAAGAAGAACCATGTTCTGCAGGTGAGACATCGTGGATGCACCAAGCTGTCTGATGGTGGACCTGTTAGGTGTTATACTTTTACCCCGAGTTCGCACTAAGAGATTACCCAGTTTTACCAAGCACCCCACTTTGTCCCACTGCCTCCCCGTACCGAGCTGTTTAAAGGGGGTGTTCCATATTACTGTGAGATTGAGCTGGAATGTTCTAATTTTTTGGCTAAAAGCCCGCGAAAATGAACAGAGCATTTCGTGGAGAGTATTTCAAAGTCACCTTGGCATTTATGACGTCATAATAACGGCACTCAAACCCTGCCATTCTTTTAGCCATGCAGCGATCACGGTCAAGAAAAATGTAACTGTCGGAGCGCTCATACCTGGCGTTCGTGAGCACGGTTTCAAAAGATAACGTCCGTCAACTGGCTCTCAATCAATGCCGCGCAAGGTACGCTGACGTAATCAAACCATGACGGATTGAGGAGCATGTCTTCTTAACAGAGAATTGTGCCGTCCATAGCAGTCTTTTCCACTAAAAAGACATACCTATAGTTATGAGTGAGATTGTTTTATAACATCTGATGCTTGCTTCATTATTTTCAAATGTGAGACGCTAACTTAGCTGGTTCTTTACGTCCTTTAACTGGTTCTCTGCGCCTATGCATAGCCCGTCCCCAACTTTGTCACTCTCCCCAGATCAGGCGCAATGGATTGCATTGCATCACATTGCGACATTGTCGAAATGTTGTTCCAACCAAGACTAATCACGTCATCACGGGCATAGCTTCGCACGATCGCACAAGGCTGGTAGCTGTCCAATTTGCATGCGTGCAACGTGATAGGCCTTTACAGCCTTTCGTTTATCTTCAGCTGGCTGATTTCTCGGTTTTGTGGTCCAGAACGTCACCAATCACCACCACCACCAATCACCAATCGTCACCATCATAGTCTTGTAACATTATGTGGCCGTCGGCCGGAGAGTACTTACTCGCTAAACACGCCATGATCAGCTGAAGCCAAAACCATTCTGTGCGCCGTATCAACATATCCGCTCACTTGGAATTCGAAACACTGTCACTTTCACCGATAACAAGAAACCTATCATAGGATCCTTGCGGTTCTTCGACCGTTCGACCACATGAAGCGAGCTTCCACAGAGCGTCTCAAGGCTCACTTAGGTCCCAGCCGTGCGATCTAACGGAAAAGCAATGCAGGGAGCGCTCGCGGACGCGGACGTCAGAGCTGCGATAAGATATCTGAGTGACCGATAACTTCGCCAAGCCAAGCCAAGGGCGTTGTGCCGGTGACTGATCCAAGTCAGCCAGGGCCGTGTTCGAGGGCGCCAGAAAAGTCCCTCGAGACCGACGATCAAGAAGCCGATTGGGTGTCTGAGTGGCCCGAAGGGCCCAAAGGCCTGGCTGTAGACCGCATTAAGTATGGTAGCCTGTAAGGTCGGGACCTGAAATACCAGTGAGGAGGCATTTTGCAGGGACTGAGAACCTCTTCGGACAATGCGGACCTCAATGTGAACTATAGACCACCAACACCGAACGGTTGGGTTTGTGTCGGTCTGGCTCCTTAGGATCCATCGCCCAGGCAGGAACAGGGCCGGGGTCCGCGATTTGCATTGGTCGGGGTCCCTGAAATAATAAAGTACCCGCAGACCCATGCGTCGGTGAAAGGCCCACAGTATCTAACGGGGTCCTGTGCCGGCAAAGGTCTCGAGTCGGCCAGAAGAACATTTGCTGACCATGGACAGGTGCAGGGACAGGACTCCAAATGCCAGGGAACCTCTTGCCCAAGCCAAGTTGTTGGTCGTTGGTCGGGGCCGCTCTGGCAATGAAAGGAGTTGTCATAACTTGTGACGAGAGTCTGCAATGAGACAGTGGAGGCGCTCTGTGGCCGTAAGGGTCCCCAGTGCCAAACGGGCGGCTCTCAGCCGCATTTCAGTTAGTGGTTTGTTAAGCCAAAATGGAGTCTCAGTACCAATTATTGAACCACTTGCGGCGGTGAGGGAACTCGTTACGTTAATGAGGGCTCCAGCGTCGATCCGTGGCCGACTAACCGGGTCAGGGGACTCACCGTGTCAGGGCAGGACCAATGTATCATGCGTCTCTCTAAAGGTCTTTGGGTTGACTAAGGGACCCCGACCTAATGTGCCACTGGAATGGCAGCTGATGGATACCCCGCGCTGAGACGGAATGGCCCTTGAGCCTCTGGCCGGGAATGAGAATGTGCTTACACCCGTGTTCTATCTACGGGGCCTCTGACCCGGAAGGAGAGCAAGGGGTTTTATTAATGTTCAAAAGAGTGGAGCGAAATAAGGTCAAGAATGAAAAGGGCAGCTCATGTTTGCTTGAGGATGTCCATCCTTTGCAAAATCATATTGTGAAAAAAACGCTTCGAGCCTGCGCGCTTGTAGCCTCACGTCCAATGACAGCTATGGTCGGGCTGCAGTTTGTGTAAAGCCGAACGGAGATGGCCACTGCAGATAACGCCAGGCGGGATCGCCCGGGCGTGCGAAAACGACCGCCGTAAAATATTGTTTCCGAAAGTCATTCAAATAAATTGGAGCCGTTGAAAGACTAAATTGGAACATATATCTATTATTTACGACTATAGCTAGGACATTTGAACAGATTAACAGTTGCAGCAAAGTGGAAATTTTTTTTTTTTCTTTCAATTCCATCAGCGGATTCTTGCATCAGTTCGGGGTGTTGTCAATGTTAATCCGTTTCTATCATCATTACAAAAATCGCACGAGTGAAAATACGCCAGAACTGCATTCTAAGCATACAGATTAAAAGGCATTCAATCAAAGGCACTTAGTTCATATCATTTTCGTCCACTCGTTGGCCGTCGGCTGGTGTTAACCGCAGTGCCGACGCCGCGCGGCCTGTGCACAATAGAGCACCGGGCGACGGGGTTTTTGTTTCTACTACTTGCAAGCGCGTATGTTAAAAACTATGTTACCCACTTTTTTGTCACTGATCAATTCTGACTGAAGGTTCGATGTAAGCTGGCGAACACGCTGTGGCCATATGATGGCAGCAATGTTGGGAGCGTCGACGCCAACACGAATACCGGTAACAACATCAGGAGGCACGCGCCTGTCTCCATGCTTTTAAACTGTTGCATCAATTTTTCACTTTCAGAGGGGCCCCAACCTCCTCCCCGTGAAGCTGACTTGAGTCCTCAATGCTCCTCTTAGTCATCCCGAAAAGGTAAAAAAATCTTAAGCCAATGAAATCCAGAAAATGCCCTGGAATGCTGCTACATTGGCGCGGAAAAGGACAAGCCCCCCCCCCCCCCTCCCCCTATTGGGACGAACCATTAAGGACCATAAGAGCTGGCCGAAGGTGGTATTAAGGGGCCCGGCCCTGTTGACTGGACTCTCAAATACCAGTCAGAGGGCCCTTTGCGCCGATTGAGCCCCTGAGTCCATGAGGGCCTCTATGTCGGTCAGACACCACCAGTCCCGAACAGTCGACTCCGTGTCGGTCTGGGCCTGAGAGTGCTCTAATCCCATCCAGGGTCAAGGCTGGCGATCGCGACTTACAAGTATGTCAGAGGCCATGGGTGCGCTCGGGACACAAGGGGGAAGCACGGTTCCGTATCACCCTCCTTTGGATCCACCATTGGCCTGAGCAGTTTGATAGATGGGGCCCTTCAAGAACATAGGACCATCCATTCAAATAAAAAGTCCCCAAGACGCAATATGGGGGCCCAGGAATGATCGAGTGTGCCCGAGCAGGTTAACAGATGGGGGGACGGCCCGATAACAGCATAGGACGCTCCATTCCAATAATAGATGCTTTTTTCTCCCGACATTTTATTTTTATCTCCCGAGCTCTCGACAAGCGTGTGGGACCCTCCATTCAAATAGGAAGTTGCCAAGACGCAATGTAGACGATCCCCGTACAATCAAGTGTGCCAGGGTAGGCCATCAGAAGGGGCCCCGCCAGGTACGTAGAGCCCTCAATTCAAATCAGAAACATCCATGATCTAGTGGGGAGGGCCCGAAAGATGGAGTGTACCCGTGCAGGCTATCAGATAACCCCTGACAGGGACGTAGGGCACTACATTAAAATACTAAGACCCAAGGTGCAGGGCCCTCGAACCATCCAGTGCGCCCGAAGAGGTGCACAGATGGCCACGACGAGTACGTATGGGCCTCTATTCTAAAGGAAGCACCCAAGACCCAATGTCGAGGACCCCCAAACGACTGAGTATGCCCGAGCAGGTTAACAGATAGGATCTCGACAACAGCGTAGGGGCCTAAGCAAGTGGCAAGAAATTGGGAGGGCCCTAGACCAATGCAGAGGGCCCGTGGACATAGCGTGAGTGTGCCAGTAGGTTAGCCGTGACCAACGTGAAGGGCCCCTGAGCAAATAAGAATACCCCGGAATGTCAACATATGGGCCCCCTGGCTCTAACATATGGAGCGTTTCGGGCGAATGGGAAGTATCCCTGGAAGGTCTCTGATTGACTAAGAGTGTCCCGGCTCGGTAGCACGGTGAGCCCCAACAACAGCACAAGGCCCTCTGAGCAAAAGCAAAGAAATCAAGGGCAACGTAAAAGGCCTCCTAACGATCATATTGCCCCCGCAATTGGACATACGGGGGCCCCGGAAATAGTGTAAGGCCTCTGTAGAGCGTAGTCAGTCTTAAGACCTCTAAATCGTTCACCTCTCGATCAGAGAAGAATAATTTTTATCTGCTCGCGGGCGCTTCACTTTCGCTTGCAATTTTTATTGGTTAACTGGAACCCCAAAGACTCCAGTATTGTTGCGTTTTGTGTAAAAAGTGCGTCTGTTGGCCGGTTTGACCTTTGGCCTCTGATCCGCCTCTGTCGTTTCCGGAAATGATTTGCACTTGGATTAGTCAGCAATTCGTTAAACGTTTTCAATGATCAAATACAAGTAGAAAGGCTGCAGGACAACCTGCAAGGCAGCTCCGATCCTTTGCAATATGAAACCAGATGCCTATAAAAACTCAACCCGTCATATGTAACGTAAATTAATTCATTAATCAATGTTTGCTTCATGCCCTTCATGCCCTTCGAGCCCTTCAGCCTCCTAATCTGTCCTTTATTTTTTGTCCTTGACTCCCTAAGGCCCTTGGAGTACCCTCCAACCGACGCAGGGAGCACCAATTATTGCAGGGAACCCAACAAATGCGAATATCTGTCCCGGCTTTGTCCCTGCCTGGTAAATGGGACTCCAGAACTCATGAGCCCAGGGAACCATTTCCAGCCGCTGTGCACCGTATCGGCCTGCGCAGACCGGCACGAGCGAATTGTTTGATATCCCATTATTCCAGGGTTTCTCAGTCGGTACAAGAAGCCCTCTGACTGACATTTGAGAACACAGCCCTGCGGGCCTGGATGCTTAATGTAACCTGCAGGCAGCCCATTTGGGCGCGAAGGGCCCAAATGGGCTGCCTGTATCCAGTAGAACCCTTCCTCATCAGTCTCGAGGCGTCCTTCGGGTACCTTCGAACACCACCCCTGGTCGACCTGAGACCACTTTCCGACACAGGCCCTCGTTGAGCACTGGGGACCCCTGATCGACGCAGGGGGCCCCTCACTGACGCATCGGCCCCGACTCTTGTAAGTCGCGATCGCCAGCCTTGACCCTGGATGGGACTTGGGCACTCTCAGGCCCAGACCGACACGGAGTCGACTGTTCAGGACTGGTGGAGCCTGACCGACATAGAGGCCCTCACGGACTTAGGGGTCTCAATAGGCGCAAAGGGCCCTCTGACTGGTATTTCAGAGCCCAGTCAACAGGGCCGGGCCCCTTAACACCGCGTTCTGCCAGTTCTTATGGCCCTTAATGGTCCGTCCCGATAGGGCGGGGGGAGGGGGGGCTTGCCTTTTTCCGCTGCTTGCGCCAATGTAGCAGCACTCCAGGGCATTTTTCTGGATTTCGTTGGTTTAGGATTCTTTTTTACCTTTTTCGGGATGACTATGAGGAGCATTGAGGACTAGCGTCAGCTTTAGGGGGAGGAGTTCGGAACCCCTCTGAAAGCGACAAATTGATGCGATAGTTTGAAAGCATGGAGACAGGCGCATACCTCCTGATGCTGTTGAAATACGACCAATGCTGTTGAAATACAACCAAATCGCATGGTAATCCCCATCTCCCGACTATTTTACGGCACATGGGTAATGCTCACTACGGTCACGAGCATGATGATCGCTTGCATCGATTTCAGCGCGGAAATTAAAGCACAATGGGCAGTGCTTCACACGACCTGTGGTCATTGTGGAATGCGGCGATCAACTGGTGCCCCCAAGTCGCCAGACATCCGCACAGCGAGGGCAAAGAGGCTCGTCACTCTAACAGCTCATGCCAGCTACAAGGCTCATGATAAATGTTGATTCATTATTCTGACATCATTCCGAAAACTCTTCAGAGATACGAAAAGTACACCTCTTTGTCGCCATTTTCCCCGGTCAGTCATATCGCTTTGGCAGCGGCATAACGCGAAGAACGGTTGCGTCATTCAACAATAAGAGAGGCGATGCCGACCATGTTTAAACTGGAGGGCATATCAGCGTGCGCTGGTACACCAGCAGTCCGCTGCGATAAAGGAACACCGTCACGTGTAATGGCCAACTGGCAAATGCCTCTGCTCTCTTCGCCACTTAGTTTGACCTCTACAGGACAATAAAAGGCGAAAACTTGGGGATCCTAGTCTCCCTTCGTTTGAATAAGAGATCAAATAAAACGGGTAGTATGTTTATCCTCGTCCTTTCAAATGTCATTACATCTGCTGAAAATAACAACGCCGAAGACTGAGGTCGCGTAAAAATGATATTCTATTAACTTTTGCTCACGAAACAATCCCAACAAGCTTATCCGCTTTCGTCTTACATAAATTAACTTTTGAGGTGGAAGGTCGGAGTCACAAAAGACGCCGTGCCCTGTCATTCATTCGTTCATCAGACAAATACAACAGAATAGGTATCGCCATTGCGTAAGTGATGTTCACTGTCGTCATACCCCAAAAAAGTAATTTTCAGGATCAAAAGTGAAGATTACAAAAAATGGCATACCAATATTTATTCGTTTACCTAAAAAAGCAATATTCATTCGTTTACCTAAAAAAACAAAACAACAGTAAGGGTATCAAGCCATGTCCGTGACGTCCACTTCCATCACTTTGGTAAGAAATAGTTTTTAAGGTCAAAAGGCTAGCGTCACACAGAAGGCAGTGCTCCGGCATTCATTCGTTTAACAGGAAATACAACAAAATGGGTACCATGGTGACGGTCGTGGTGCCCACTTACGTCAGTCTAGAAACGCAGTTTTCAGGGTCATCGCACTAGGTCACACATCACACGGCGCCTGGCACTTCGTTATTTACCACAAAGTTTTGGCCAAAGTTTACTGTTTGTTTACCAAAGAAATGCAACGGAATGGGTATCGTAGCAATGTTTTGATGTCTGCTTTTGTCACATCTAAGAAATGAATTTCGAAGATTAAAGATCAAGTTCATACAAAGTGGAGTAGTTTGGCATTTATTCGCTTGCCAAAAACATACAAGATGCTTTCGTTACACCTGGACAAATTAAACTAAGATCAAGGATCAGAGTCCCACATAACGCGGCACCCCGCCGTGTATTTGTTTAAAGGGGAAACACCACTAACACCACTAATCAGGCATCATATTCATTCTCGTAATGCCCACTTTCGTCGTGCGTACGAAAGCTCTCAATGCCAAAGGTTAAGATCCCATGCGATCGGGCACTGTGATATTTCTGCGCTCATAAAGCAGCTATAACATTAAGGGTGCTATATTTGATCTGGTAACGTCCGCGTTCGTCTTGTTTTGAAAAAAACTAATAAAAATATAAAATGGGCATCATAATGATGCCCATGATATTCGCTTACGCCACACCTACAGTAATAATTTTTAAGGTCAATGGTCAACGTCACACAAAACACTGTATCTTAGCATTTCTTCGTTTTCCAGTAGAATTCCACACAAGTAATAACTCAGTAATGTCTGCAGTCTCTACTCTCGGCACATTTGCGAAACCTCACATCTCAGGTCAAAGGTCCAGGTCATGCAAAACGTGGTACCATGACATTCATCTATCCACTAAAGAACTACAAAAACGTCATCCTAGTGATGATTGTGATGCGTTCTTTCGCCACGTCGGAAAAATACATGTCAAGTCAGATGCACAGGTTACGAAAAATGTGGTGCCCTGCTTTTTACTGGTTTACCAAAGAATCTCCACCAATTGGATATCATATCGATCCTCGATAAATCTGCTTTCGTTAAACTTTAAAAGCTTCATCTCCTGGCCAAAAGTCAAGATGACATAACAGAGCGGATTCTGACATGTTTTGCTCATGAAGCAATTGCAACAAAAGTAGACAAGTAGACGGAAGTCCAGATCACAAGTGGAAATACGACACGAGTCGTATTTCTACTTGTGAGCACTCCAGGGCATTTTTCTGGATTTCATTGGTGAAAGCGACAAATCTGATCAAATCATCCCTCTGAAAGCGACAAATTGACGCAACAGTTTGAAACCATGGAGACGGGCGCATGCCTCCTGATGCTGTTGCCGGCATCCGTGTTGGCGTCGGCGCTCCCAACGTCAATGCCATCTAGTGGTGGAACATGTAAGCCGTCTTTTCATGTGCAGCCAGTAGGAAAAGTTGACGAATGTGTTAAAACTATTTGCTGACATTTGTGTGCTTGAGTGTTTATTTTACATTTTGCAATCGAAATAGATATCTTCTATGTGAAATATACCAAGTTACGCAGCAACGACCAGTTCTAAAATTTAACAACATATATCCACTTTTCAGAATTTCCAGAGTGGACAACGAGTGGCTTTTCCTTTTCCGCTGCGAACGAGTGGTGGTGGTGTGGTAGCGGGGGCTTGTGCCGAAATATTGCATCATGCCGCCTAAGTTTGATCCCAACGAGATTAAAATAGGTATGGTTGAGTGTGCAGGCATCGGGAGGTGCGTGTGTGCGAGGTGTTATCTTGCTTGGGACCTGTGGGCATGGCGATAACTTGAATCTAATCGTGATTTATGCTGCTGGCCAGAATCTGAAAGATGTGTGTTATGCGGAACATGTCTGACGTGGTGGTGCTGTTGCGAAAAATTTCAGCGAATGCTCACTGGATCCGAGTTTCCACGCTTAGAGTTCAGTGACCTTTATTTCAATGCATGTCAATGTGTCAAGAAACTTAAGGTTTCATTGGTAATTTTAAGCAAAACATGCCTCATTAAAGTCAGTACAGCATGCTGTCTGCCCACAATTACTGGGGGCAAAAAAACGTATATTTTTGGTACGGCACATCACAGATTGTATGACTTGGTTGATAGCTCAGCCCCAGCTTCATGTGGCGCGTCCTGCTCATGGAGGTTGATGTGATGATGCATAGAAAGTTTGCCTGATCATTTAATTTGTTCATTTGTGTTGGTTTGCAAGAGCTTGGTAAGATATTCTTAGCAAATGATTTTCATGGATCTTGATGTACATTATGTGTGTTGGAGTTCTAAGGTGGTCATTGTCTGGATAGTATCCATAACATAGAGGGGATTCTTGTGTACGCCAGTTGCAACCTAATTGTATATTATTGTGATGTCTCTAGGTGTTGGCTATTGATGGTTTTCATAGAGTACATAGGTGTGCTGAAAAATCTGTTGATCAGGAATTGCTCTGTATGACTATTAAGTTCAATCACAGATTGAGTAGATAAAGGAGCTTAAAATAGATCATGCAGGGGTAACTATGATATGGATCATGACACCTCTCTTGTTTGTCCTTCCAGTGAAGCTGAGGGCTGTGGGTGGTGAGGTTGGTGCCACATCCTCTCTTGCACCCAAGGTTGGCCCCCTTGGCCTGTCCCCCAAGAAGATTGGAGATGATATTGCTAAGGCAACTGCTGACTGGAAGGGTCTGAAGATCACTGTGCAGCTCACCATCCAGAACCGTCAGGCAAAGGTGGCTGTAGTGCCATCTGCTGCGGCTCTGGTCATCAAGGCCCTCAAGGAGCCTCCACGGGACAGGAAGAAGGTCAAGCATGGTATGTCAGGCCTGCTCTGCTATCTTGCAGACTGAAAATAACACAATCCATACAGTGTCACTTAGGTGAATCATGACTGTGTTGTTTTTCCTTATCAGAACCCCTGGCAGCTGTGCTGGCCACTTCTGCCACTGTTACAAGTCTCCATGTGACTGCGCTGTTGTGATCACATGTGTCCATATCCGGTTTGCAGTGAAGCACAATGGCAACATCACCATGGATGATATTGTGGAGGCGGCACGGATCATGCGCGAGCGGTCGATGGCTGTTGACTTCTCTGGCACGGTGAAGGAGATCCTTGGCACGGCCACCTCCATTGGCTGCACCGTGGACGGCATGGCCCCGCAGGACGCCATCTCCAAGATCGATGCTGGCGAGCTGGAGGTGCCCAGCGAGTAGCAACACGCGCTATAGGTGAGCGGCCGGTTTGGCGCACGTGTCCGGCGCCCGGACGCGTGCGCCACCTGCCGACACTGGTCGGGGTTGGCATCCCATCCACCCACCGCCTGGTGGGCAACACGGTGCGCCTGCTTTTGTGGTCACCGTCATACTGGCTAACTGAACTGAAGTGTGTTGTTGCTATGAATCAATTCAGATTTTTGCTTAGTTTGCTACTGCTTGTCATTCCTTTGCCCAAAAGCAGGCCGCCTTGCCACCGAGGGAAGGAGAACCTCGATAAAAGCACTCCAGTGGGCTCTAGTGATTTTTGCCATTGTGTGGTTCTGATAGAATTTATCTGTTGTTTCAGGAAATACACGTCCATTCATCAATACTGTGTTTGTTTGAATTATAAAAGAAAGTGAATTGTGGTTTGCGAGATCACGGGCGTCGCGAATAAAGGAATGAATCGGCGTTAATTTATTTGTGATCGCCGTTTTCCTGGTGCGGTTATTTAGTCCTAGGTAACGCTGCGGCGCTCGACAACATTCACAATGGTGATCCGCGCAATTTGTGAGGTCGAAGCGCGGGGCCATCTGTTAGCACTTCTGAGTTGGAAATTAACCAGACTTGCACGAAATGCTTCACTGGGGGTCAACGGGGTTGCCTTGCCGCGGCCGTGGTTGTACCGCGGAAGCGCGTCGTTCCACGGTTGCGCGCGACATTGCGTGTGGAGTACTTGGGATGATCTGTTCATTGCCGTCACAACTTCCGAGGCGCTGCACTTGTCTTCCGTCGTTGGGAACGGAGAGCGTGACAGGGGAAGCCCATAGTTGGCGGCACCTTGTCGATCCTGGGAACCCGTGAGCTATTTTAACTCGTAGTGGGACAATGGCCTAACGACCCGAGCTCCGACATGACATGGGAATCCCGATTCGAATCCCTGTAGTGGCGTGGTCACTGAGCTAATGCGACCAGTGGGTCGGGTTGCGCTCAATATAAGGCCGCTGCCCCCCCCCCCCCCCCGAGAAAAAGGAACGGGTGTCGGACGGCGGGTGCGCGCGGATTGTAATCGAGATGTTTGTCACGAAGGTCCGCTTTCCACGCATAGTTCCTTCATTCGATGCATTTGTCAGACTCGTGTTAGCCATGGCCGCAAACGGCCACCGCCCCCTGTGCCTGGTGCCGAAGTTCCATTCTGCGTTCCGCGGCATCAAAAACCCGCTGCATCGCACGCAGTGTATTTTGGTCAGATGGGTGGTGGGGTGGGGCGCGGCGGCGGCGGAGGCGTTTCCAGGGTGGTCGCCGCCGGCGCGCCCGTCAGCCGCGGATCAGCGCCGGCCCGGCAGGCGAGTCCATGGGCCCGGGCCGGCGCGAAGCCGGCAGCTCAGCTGGTGGCGGTGGTGGCCTCTACTGCACCTCGTCCAGCTTGCCGCCGCCGCACGTGTTGCACATACAGCTCTCGGGCCGCGTGCACAGCAGGTACAACACGAGGAACGAGAAGATCACTGTGGGAGGAGGGTTGCGGTTCAGGCCGGTGATGGGGCGAGGTCACGGGGTCACTGAGCGATGTAGCGGCGGCGTGGGGCACTTTGTGCTCGAGGACGTTGAGAACGACCACTGGGGCGTCGTTTTCCGTGCTATCAGTATTTGTGGGCAGTTGCTCGACATGGGTGAAAAACACGAGCATGATGGCAGTGTTGCTGCGCATAAATAGCATGTTTCATGAAAAATAGACTCCTGACCTAACTACTTTCAGGAGATCGTTCCGGTTACTTTGACCCGCATGACACGTCTACAGTAGTGGTGGTTTATGATGGCCGGGAGCGTTTTGCATGCGGCAGCATGCTTACCGGAAGCTGCTGGTACTGTTATCCGAAGCAGCAAGTTTGGTTTGTTCGGATCCACCTTCTTTATGCTCTCACCGTCGTTCCAGTCCACGTCGAGTTCTTCATACTGGTCAGGAACGTACGCTGTCGTCGAACGTGTCGACATCTGGTTGTGAAATGGTTAACTATCATTAGTTTTGCTCGCCACAGGCAGCCTCCCACGCGCATGTTTGCTCTATCGTAGGTTGGAACTGAGCTACTGGGCTACAACCCGCAGCATGTTAAAGGGAGTGTTCCGCATTCGGAAGGGGGCGGGGGTATTGAACTGAAATTACCATCTTAAAGAATTTTGGCGCAGTTAACAAACCCATTCGTCTTAAGAAGAAAACCCCTCTATTTTCTGAGTTGCACGCCCGCAAAAATGGGGAGACTATCTCAGGGTTATCTCGGCATTCATGACGTCGCAAAAAGGTCATTAAAACCCTGCGATTCCACGGGGCCGACATAGCCTTGACGGTCGTCATTTGGCCTTTCATCAATGTTGTGCAAGGCATGATGATGTAATCAAATAGTGTCGTATCGTGGAGCATATTCTCTAAACAGAGTAATTGTGCTGTCCAGAGCAATCTTTTCTACTGGAGAGTGTCTCAAAAGTTGAAGTGAACTTGTTTCATCATATCTGAGACTTGGTTCACAATATCTTCGAATGTTAAGAATTCTCTTTACGTGTCCGCTGTTTACAAAAGGTCCGGTGAACCCTTTCTTCAGCTTTAAACGGCATATATTGCGTCTTGGCGGAGGCTATTTCTACAATCCGTGGAAAGTGTTTCCATGTCCTGTACAAACGTTCTGATCAGCATTGTGACGTACCTGGGCTGCGGATGGAGTTGATCGTCCATTCGCTGAAATGTAAGTTATGGTTAGCCGTCGAAAACTTCATGCGATCGTGCGAGCATCGAACAAAGTATCAATCCACATGACATGACTTCAATCGGTTGTCGACGAAAAAAAAATATTGCATCGCGGAATGTAGTTCGGGTTCGCAATACGAAATACGCTGGCAGTAATCTTGGCATTTGTGTCTAAGAAAAGAGCGCCGGAATCTCCATTATTTTCAAGAGGAAAATAATGGACTGTGCCCTGCCGTACATGTCATTCATACCACACGCCCACCAGTCGAGCCCACCTGTGACGTTCACCGCTCCAATTTTGTGACCAGTGGTATGGCGGCCGCAGAAGTTCGAGCCCTTAGAAGTAGGCAAGTTAAAACCTCGAAATAAAAACCTTAAGAGTATGATGTAGACAGCATCGCGCAGGTCTCCTTGTAACGTACGATCTGAGAGCCCCAGGTCGAAACGCAATGTTAATGTCGAACAAGCCCCTTTGCAAAGAAATGTTCCAGCGCTGCGATATTTCGAAACATGGTCCCGAAATCCTCCTCGACTGGGCTTTAATAAAATTAGTCACCGGTGTTTTCACTGCGTGTGATACCAGCTCATACGACACCAGGGCGGCGGCACGTCCGATAGAAGTGTGCCTTTACGGACTCAAGGGTGAATCAGCGCTGCCCGGGTCACGGAAAAAATTGTCGTCACCTGTTTATACTATCTATCTAAGCAGAGACGGAGGCAGGGCCTTGCAAGAAGACGGCACTGGGGTTGGCGAAATGTCCATGCCTGGTGAGATTCCGTCCCCTCCACGCGCTGGATTTGGCCTTTATTTCGAAAGGGACTCTATCGTCTTCGCTTTATGTCTAATGTATATGGTGGCAGTGGTCAGTGGGTCTGTGAAACAAACCACCTGTCGGAGACCGCATGTTGGGCGCAAAATGACCTCAGAAATCGGCTCGCCCTAAAATCCCAATCATCACCTGTCGGAAAATGAAACTTACCAATTTGTCATGAACACTAAGCATACGAGCGGAAATCAACCCAGGCCGAATATGCTACCTACGCAATTTTCAAATGGTTGTTTTCATGTGCCTTCTTCGCACCGCCTGGTGCCAGCTACGGCCGTCAACGTTGCTCGGGTCAACGGAGCCTAACAGAAGACACCGATGTCTTGCATATATATATATATATATATATATATATATATATATATATATATATATATATATATATATATATGTATGTGTGCGTGTACGCTCTTCTCACGCCCAATACTGCGTTGCCCGGACTCCAAACAGCAATAATGATAATAACAATGATAGTATTGACTGGGAGCACTTACGGGTGGAGGCTGCAGTTGTCGCCGATGTCACAGACTCTGCAAATTGAGGCAAAACAACGTTCATTTGGATAATAGCGGCTATTGCGAAGACTTGACCAGAGGAGCGCCGGGGTCTCGAAGCGGTGTTAAACGCGCGGTGGGTTACGCTAGTTAAAAAATCGGCGTCGTAACAGTCGAGAGGTAGATATCGCGCACCTGCACCGTTGCGACGAACACTCATGCAGCTGGCTGTCTGAGCTCGTAACGCGGGGTTCAGACCAGGTCGTCTTCCCTCGCGTCGCTGAAGGCTGCCACCGCGCGTCTCCTGGGTAGGTGGCGGTTCACACACTATCTTCTCGATAGGTGGCAGCATGTACGTGTTGGTCGTCGCCGGACGAAGCACCCGCGCCCTCGCGGTGAGAGAGAGAGAGAGAGAGAGAGAGGGGGAGGGGGGGGGGGTTGCACTGACCGTCGACACAGGTGAGCGGCTCGCCTCCGATGGTGGCCGGTTCCACGAGCTGACTGACGCCGCAGTTGCGCCTCTCCACCCGCTGGCCGTTGGAAAACTTGAGCCCCTCGGGACAGGTGAAGGATACGCTGCCGCCGGCCACCACGTTCTGGTCGGAGTTGGCGGTCGCCTGGGCGGGCAGGTCGCTTGGTGGCGACACGGGGCCGTTGCAAAACGGCACTGCAGGCAGAAGCGACGGGTCAGCGCAAAACTGGTGCCTGAACTACATGGAATCGGATCCGATGCCAGACTGGTGCCTGACTTCCGCGGTATCGGATCCAATGCCAGACTGGTGTCTGACCCGCGCGCAATCGGGTCCGATGCCGGACCGGTGCCTGCCCCCCCCCCCCCCCCCACGGAAGCGGATCCGATGCCAGACTAGTAACTGACCCCTGCGGAATTGGATCCGATGCCAGACTGGTGCCTGATCCCCGCGGAATCGTATCCGATGCCAGACTTGTGCCTGACTTCCGAGGTATCTGATCCAATGCCAGACTGGTGCCTGACCCCCGCGGAATCGGATCCGATGCCAGACTGGCGCCTGACTTCCGCGGAATCGGATCCGATGCCAGACTGGTGCCCGCCCCCCGCAGAATCTGATCTGATCGCCGGATTGATTCTGCTTTAGGCGGACTAATTTCACTCCGTAGGTTATTCAGCTGAAACGCATTCAGGACATATTCATGCAAGCTGCCATAGGATCAAAATTGATTCGTCTCCGATTTAAAAATGCTGACTCACGAAACGATTCGACCATAATATCGGAACGCTCACATCGTTGACATCACGTTGCAAAAAGCGTGCCTCGTATGCTCGTTCGTTACACATGGAGAAGGAGCGGGATTT